AATGCATGACACCACGCCCTTTGCTAACACCATCACCGACAATGCCATTCTAAACCCTCTCATCGCTCGAGGACGAGCTTCCTCAACCATTCGGGTAAAGAGAAGGTCGTGACTGCTTCAACAGTTCACCTAATCTTACCTCGGTATGCTAACAAGAGCAACACTTTTTTCGATCTTCAACAAGCTCGAGGACGAGCTTTTCTCTAGGAACGGAGATGTCAGGATGTGATTTATTATGCAGATGTAACATTGCATGAGGATCATGCCAATGTTTACTGGATCTTGTTTATCAGTACCTCTCTGTACCTCGAATATTATAGCCACGTTGTAATACGGAGTAGGTATAAAAAGTGTGGAGAGTTACAACATGCATGACTGGCTACTAGCTCCCAGTCTCCCTCCCCCCTTCCCCTCATCTTTCATGTATAGATCTCTTTGTATAATAAACCTTAGATGGTCTGATCTTACTGTCAAATACACCATAACACCGCTACACCCTCAGGCAAGGGTTTAGCTACCCTTGTACCTGATATGGACGTTAAACACGCCGAAAAATTGCATTGCATTGTACTTTGTTTACGCTATCTAACTGCTATCAAAACTCTTCCGAAAAGTTCAAATTTGTGATTACGAAAAATTGTCAAATTTGGACATGGTAAAAACCAGGGCTCAAAATTCCGGCAATTATCTCTCGTTGATCGCAAGAGAAACCAGCACAGAAACATGACTGCTAAAAAGTGGAAGAAAAGCAGCGTTGGACAATGTTTAGAACGTTTCCCCGCCTTTGTTCCACGTATTTTTATATAGGTTGAAATGTCGGGCAGAATTTTGGAACGAAATAGTATAATCAAAAAAAGTCAAATGCTTTAAGGCACCGTCCACCCAGATTCTCGACTTCCACGTTATTGCTGTTTCGGGGCCATCTTATGTTCCTGATTTCGAATATGAAGTCGAAAATCTGCAAAAACTTAAAGATCCCGTTTCGGAGAGCCCGCGGGCGAGTTCTCTGGAACAGTGATTGGTCGCGCGGATTTGGATGGGCGCGATTGGAGTACCGCCACCTGTTCTTAGTCTCGTCCGAAGCAATATTATCGATTCAGAATTTTTATCGAACTCAAATTATTCCGTTAGGCCTACGGCATACCTCACGTGATTTCAGTCGCTGCGCGACCTGCCACTTCAAGTACCCTTCATAGCTGGTCGTAAACGCATTTTGTTTGGACCAAACTTGCTGCGTCTGGCATAACTTACGAAATCTATGGCCCATACATCTGAGAGCCGCGCATGCTTAATCAGTAGACACTGGCAAATCGCCAAGTCGCGGGGATGTGGCGATTCCGCAAAATAGGTATCCCTTAAGCCTTAGTCAGGTGTGTGCCCTCGCAATGCGTTAATATGCACCAACAATTTGGATGGAAGGTGCTTTTAGAAGAAACTTAGGTCTACCACTATTTCTGAGCTGAAGAGGTACTAATTTTATGTGAATATCGAAAGAAAAGGAATTGCTAACATCATGTACACTTGTAATACTACATTAGGTCATTTTCTACTGAATTTTGACCTGATGATTACCGACTCCACTAGAAATTTTACATTTTAGAAAAACAGTATAGTGTGATACGCGGGAGATTGTAACCTGTTACGATCTGTTATGTGAGGTATTAGCACGTGAGAGTTGGCAAATTTACAGTACCTGCAATAGGTAATAAAGCATTAACGAAAGCTCTTGGTTTTTGATTAGAGCAGGTCCATGCTTAATACCTTCCACATATTCAACAACGACACTTTTTCCACGTTCTGTGTGGACTAAGACTTTTTCGCTGTTTCAAAAGTACGATATAGCGGCGAGCCATAGCCTGAAATGCCCGTTTCGAATAACCTGACCAGAACATTCTTTGGGTGTTTCATTCATGTGGCAAAATTTCAAGCTTTACCGTAATTAGCAAAACCTAAACTTTAGAATGTACTCAATGCTTTACTGTTCAAGCTGGCAGGACAGCTACGATGACTTGGCTTTTATGTGAGCTAAAACAAAAGCTTGAAAGTTCACATCAGGAGTACAAAACCGCCTTGAAGAACTAGTACAAGATGTTCAAAAGAGTATTGTTTTTAAACCCTATTCCAAAACATTCTGGTTGGACTTCGCCTTTATGGATTTTGGGACCGAGGCAAATTTCAGAAAAGACTATATCATGGCCAATTGATTCAACTTATCGCAACTTTCTCCGTCAATTTTTGGACTAACAAGGGAAAGGTACTAACTTAGAATCGCCTTCTGAAATAAAACACTATATTTAGAATCAGCTTGGAGCGCAGATTCCAGAAATGTTGTTCATAGCTGCTTAGCGTTATTCTGAAGTGAGTTATGGTCTCTTTTCTACGCAAAGTTTGCGTACTCCTCAACCTACTGATGCTACGGTATTGACGTCTGGATAGTTTTGCAATTGTATAATGTACCCTTTTGAGATCGAACGAATCAACCTGATGCTAGTTCAACATCCTAGCACTTTCCTCGAGCATATTTTTAATCTACACGCTGTTTCACGACATTCAGAAGTTCGTTATTACTCACAACAGCAAGCCCATAACTCGCCCTGGAATAACGCTAAGCAGCTAGGAAAAGCATATTTGGAATCAGCGTTCAAAGCTGATTCCAAATATACTTGTCTCATCTCAAAATGCGAATCTAAGTTGGTATCCTTTCCTTGTAAGCACGTTGAAGAAAAAATGATGATACGACAAATGCATGCGATTTAGCAAAACTGCTAAAATTTAAATTAAGTGTCTTCTGGAGTTTTTTTAGAAATTCAAATCGTCCTTGTTACCATGAGCACCTTGACTCTGTAAGTGAGCGAAGTGCGAGTTGTTCGTAGAAAGCGAGATGATTGTTTTATGAAATCCAAGACATTATGCACTATTTGTTGATATCTTCTTGCTTTTTTGTTCTTCACCGCTCTTCAGATATAATTTTGTAAAACTAGCTTCAATTTGGATTTGCATTGAAAAACAGATTACCGTTTTCTCCAATGTTGTAGGATGTGAATTTGGTATAAGATAGCATCACAAAAAACGGTGAATGGCATTAGGGCAGGAAAGGTATTAAAACGTTTCGGAGTGCATTCGCGCGCTCCTTAGGATCACATTTTAGCCGTTAGTCGACAGAAAGAGCTAATTTTTTGAACTGAATATTATACCTCTGATGAGCATATCAGATAAGTTCCATACCCAGTTCCATACTCTGAATAACGAAATTTTTGCATTTTGCCGCTTGAGAAGGACTGATGCGTTCTCTTGCAAGATAGAAATAAGATCTCAATCTCAAACGGTGACCAAATTGACTTGCGTTGCACACTGTACACATCAATGCTATAAACACCTTTTTTCTTTTGAACCGAACCAAGTAAAATTTGCGACGTCGCTCGCTCGTTTGCCGCACTAGAGTACGACCCTGAAAGAACCCCGGTGGCACAGCTGCAGAGGGTTATCTGCAAGTACGAGCCTAGGCCTTTATTTTTTATCCCTGGACTATGATGTATTCCGACCTCGCTGTGCTCGGAGAGCAACGATGTTGCTTCTATTGAAGACAGTTCATGACCGGAAGAGGCGCTGAGAAAACGAGCGCGAGAGTGCACAAGGAAAGAGGAGTGACGCGCAGCACACACCTGCGCACTCTAACAAGTGAAGGATGGTTGGTCGAAGTGGCCTTTCGAGATGAGTTGTATACCATGCTGGAGGACATAAAACGTTGATTCCAAATCTGTCTTCCTTATCTGCGGCGCATTCCTGAACGAGGAGTTATGAGCGTTCAAAGGAGCAAAAAATGAGTGTTTTTCTGGGATAAAAACCGTTTTTGAAATTTTCCCAACGCTTGAATGAGACAGCCGGAGTGGGATATATCTCACCTAAAAGTACTCATTTTATAGAGTGCTGGAAGTATTACCGCTGGTCCATTTAAGCGCTAGGAATGATGTTACTACTGTTCTTTACTATTTGCACGTTCAATTTTTTTTCAACAATCGCTCATAACTTCTCGTGCAGGAATGCGCCGCAGACAAAGAAGACAGATTTGGAATCAGCGTTTTTTGCCTTCTAACATGGTATACAAACCATCGTAAATAGCCACTTCGACTGATCATCCTTCCCTTGTAAGGCCCTGCGCGGACGGCCCATAGAACCCCCACTGGCGTCCAAGAAGATCCTATAAACGCTGATGCACCATATGGAGCACCTGTCCAAAACGTGTTAACGAACAAACAGTGCATAAGTACTTTTAGGTCACCCTGTATGTATATGCTTTATACCTACAACATGTTCGCTTGAGATTCACGATAAAACAGTAGTTTTTGTTTTATTTCATTAGCATTTCAAGTTTCCTTCGTTCGCTGTAAGCACAAAATTGCATTACATATGAGTAAATTTCTACAAATTATATTCGGTGACCACTTAATATCCACAACATTCCCATATATAGCCGGTATGGTAATCGGTAGCGAACCAAATGAAACTCTGGTTTCGTATAATCTTGTTATATCGCACAAAACAACAAATGCGTCAAAGATTCACAAACGGGATTAGGTCTACCGTATGATTCGTTACCCGGTTTTCTCCGCTGGAGAGCTCGGCCCTAATAGATATAGTCAGCCCTAGCAAAAGACATTCACGGTTTTTTATGAGTGGTACGCTGACTGTCTTCTACGCTAGGAAAAGTTTAATACGCGCAGTTTCTGCTCTATCTCCGCTCTTTGTAATCTTAGCCAGTTCACTTGTAATCTGAGGCCTTACCCGCCTTGATACGCAGAACTTACAACATGGGTTTTTCTGCAATTTGAGAGCAACGGCAATTATGCGTCTCTCAGGCAACCAGGATATAGTAAACATAAAGTTTTGTTTTTGAATTACTGGCGATAGCATTGCATCATTTAACAAGTACACATAAGAAACAATAGAATCTCTAAACCATCCCAGCTATATGCCCTGAGTCCTACTCAGCAACTTTTCAGGTATCGGAACGTACAACACTTTGGCTCGGGGTGGGATGCGCACTGGAAGACGTTGATAAGAATCCGGCAGGAAACTATTCTGTCCATTGTCGCTTCCAAGCTCGTACAGCTAATCCTAATCGACGATAACAGAAGAACATCGATCGTATGAATGTGTGATCTAATGGCAAATTTTACAAAGCTTGTATGATTAATACAACTAACTAGATCAGAGTAACCATTTTACAAGGTGTCTCACATATGTACTACAAATGTAACATTGAGATACTAGCGATCAAACAATGTATAATTCCCAAAAAAGCTTGCCTACATTTAGCTAGCCTTAAAGCTAACATTGCTCTTCATTACTGTAGGATTGCGGTAGGAACTTTAGGAAGGGTTTTGAGCCATCGAGAAACCACAGTCGCCTTAGGAAGCAAGCAAAACAATCTGAAAAGCTTTACACTAAGCTAATTAAAGCCGCGGGAACTGCTCCCCGAATTTGTGATTACACCATTAACACGTTTCGGACCGCGAAATCGCGCGCGGCGAAAATGAGTGTACTTTCAGCAGTTAGCCAAAAGGGACCTTATTTCGTAAACTGTGTGCTACATCTGTAATCAGAATGTCAGATATGCTCCATACCCAATGTTCTGAGTGAATACGAAGTGTTTGGATTTTGTCGCTCGAGAAGGACTTTCGTGTCTTCTTGAAAGATAAGAACAAGAACTCAGTTTCTAATAGTATGCAAAAGTATCCATGTTGTATGCGGTACACATCATTATTAAAACCAGGGTTTTTCTCGTTGAAACTGAAGCAAAGAAATGTTGCGACGTCGCACGCGTCGTTCGCGTTGCCGCACTTCGTTGCAACTGTCGTTCGATTTGTCCTCATATCTTCTAAACAAATATCGGCGGCACAACTCTACGGGGTCTTTTGAAAAGGAGGAGCTTAGGCCTCTAACTCAGTAAACATAGACAAAAAGAAAACCTTCTGCAAACGTTGAAAAGTCCTTCAAATCCGCGTGCTGCACCATGTGCAGCACTGGTCCGAAACGTATTAAAAAGCTTTAAGCACTCGCAAAAAAGATAATAATAAAATCAGCGCGCATGAAAACCCTGGTACGCCACATTTCAGAGTTTTTTCGAAACTTTTTGGAATGCGCTTAATCCACAATGAGCTATAGGCCTAAGGCATACCTCTCGCAATTTCGCGAAATCGCCACATCCTCGCGACTTGGCGATTTGCCAGATGTCTAGAGATTAAACATGCGAGGCTCTCAGATGCATGGGTGCGTAGATTCCGTAAATTGTAACAAACACAGCAAGTCTGGCCCAAGCAAAGTGCGTTTACGACCAGCTATGGAGTGTTGTTGCAGTGCCAAATCGCGCGGCGACTAAATTCGCGAGAGGTATGTCTTAGGCCATAAGCTAAAAGTTAGCACCTGCGATTCCGTCTTCCGCTGTAGGTTAATCGGCTAAGTGCCTTCCTAGCATTAGCATGGATGACGTTCCTAATTTTATCTTTTTCCCTGTGTTTCTTTCTCGATTGCATACTTCTTCACTGCCGGATGGTGATTCAAGCATGTTACTGGCTAAGGTCAGTACCCAGCGAGAAATAAATAGGCAGTTGGCTAATTTCTGCGACAATCCTGTCATGATCTGTGGCAAAATAAAGACTAAAGCATTTTCTTGATGATTGTAGATTATGAATTTGATGAATCAAGAGCAAAATTTTCAGTCCAACTCAGGCAATTGTATCGGAAAATTCGCGGCCTCAAAGCGTGTTACATGGCGCGCCGCGGCCCTTTAAATTCCATCGCGCATGCCGCGGCCCATGTAAATTTTACCGGGAATGCCGCGGCCAAAGTGGAAATTGGGATGAGATTATCGAGAAAGTCGAGGCCCAATCACCTCACCCGGCGGGCCGCGGGTCTTATTAAAGGCCGTACTTCTTACACGCTGTAGGTTAAGGCGCAACCCGCGTGGGGTACACCGCAGTGATGGGGCTACCCTAAGTGTTTGGGAGAATCGGTAGTCGCTTCTCGGGTTTGGTCCTCTCTGACAGTTAAGCTTTTATGCTCACGAAACAAACTTCAGCAGTCGGATAAGTGTTATCGACGACACTAGATAATGTCGAGAGATGAGCTAACAAGTTGCTCAATTTGCACTCAAGTCGTTTTCATGGAAGACAATCCAAAAGATTTCACTTTTTTCACTCTTCTAGGCCTCACAAGCATGCTAATCGGGTCAACTATCGGGCGCTTACGGGATGCGCCGCGGTCACTTATAATATCCAATATCGGTTTATACCGGGCAGCTCGCGGCATGGATGATTGGTGGCCGAGCAAGCACCCGCGAACATCCCGGTGCAGTTGTCTGAGAAATAGCACTCGCCTTGCATATTATTGTCCCCAAAAACCTTCCTTTATCATCTGCTAGTTGATAGCGCACGATATTTATGATAGAAAGCAATGGAGTGCAATCCCTTCTTTAAAGGCAGTGTCCGGGCAAAAACTCGATCTTGAGATTTTGTGCTTACCCGGGCCTATTCGCTACACTGAATCCGAAAATGCACATTGGAGAGCGCGAAAACGGCGAAGATTGGCTTCAACAGGGGAGGGAAATCAGCAGATGGGCGGGGTCCTCCTCATTGTGAATTCACGCTCCCAGCTTCCAGAGATCTTCTTGGTTCCGATTTCAAGTCATGCATTCGCACCTAGCCGGTGGAGATCTCAGGGCGCTAGAGGAATTAGGAAGATCGCTCCAGAAGCTGGGACTGCGAAACTCACAGTGGGGAGGACCCCGCCCCCTTTCCCTCCTGCGTTAGAGCCCTTTTTCGCCGTTTTCGCGCTTTCCGATATGGATTTTCGGATTCAGCATAGCGAATAGGCCCGGGTAAGCACAAAATCTCAAAGTCGACTTCTTGCTCGGACACTGCCTTTAATGATGAACCCTGTCAAGTTCGCATAAGTGAGATTTTATCCAATATAAACGAGTCCAAAAAAACGCGGTCCTATCTTTGTCAGAAAGAAACTGTCTAGCACATTGAATTAAGGACACTCATATATGTCTTATAACGCCTGCATGCACTGAAAGTGATGTTTAATAGGTTGTGAAGGATCACTTTTGAGATTTGATGTATATGCCTGACCTTGCAGAATCTAGCTGGCATAATTATCAGTCTAATATAATCAGCATATGTCTTTGCAAAAATGTTATTTTGGTTAATCCGTATCACACACTTGACAAATGATTCCTTTCCGTACTTACAAGAAACCAGGTTACTGCTATGCAGGGTCGAGCGTGGGGTCAGGCACGCCCAATTTGAGGGTCGTGTTGGAAGTGGGCGAAGGTAAGGAGGGGTCGTATTAGAGGATGAGGAAATCTAAAGGAGGGGAAAAATCGCGTAAAGTAAAGAGTAAGCACTACATTGATGATTATCATTGTCCATTACACCAAACCAACTTCGAAATTGAACCATATTGAATCCTATGTAGGGAGCAACACCATGTCAAATAACTACATCTCGCAAAGCTACAGCAAATACAAAAAATTCAAACTTCTACAAGTACCATCAGCTTAAACGAGAGCCGTACAATGCGGAACTTTCACAATTTTCAAAAGTAGCATGTCAAAATACATTCTGCAACCTTTCGGCCTTCTTAAATGTAAAAAACGCGTCATCTTGACTTTATTTTAAGTTGAAATAAACAACCTTTTTTTTCTGAACAAACCTTCTTGACCGATGCTAGAAGTTTGGCTTTACATGACCTTCTGCCGCCTGAAAAAGGTTCTTTGACATGAGGTTAATGATGGCAGGCGCAACCATCGAAAAGGGCAGGCTCCCTGACCTTTTGATTACGCCTGACCCAATTGATTCGCAATCCACAAACCTCTCCATTTTTGCTGCCTATAGTAAGCCCAAACCCTGCTCTTCCCCTAGAAGTGTGACCTCGAATCATCCTCTCTTGGGAAAGTTATGTCCGTGTGATGAAGCATTAAAACAATTCGAATTCCAGTTGTTTCCGGTTTTCCACAAATTTATGTGAGGAAGGTAATAGGATGTGTTACTCCAGTTGGTCGCAGAGTGCATTTCTCGATGATTTCTTTTCAGTGTAGTCTGCTATGGTACTCATATAGAGCTGAAGCTTTTAGTATCGATTTGTAATGTCTGAAAAAGTGCCGCTTTGCCAAGATTCTCATTGAAGGGGAATCCTGCTATAATTGTGCCTTTTTTCTTGCTGATCAAACTCCTGTAGTATCCAGAGAACTTATTTACGGTTGCTTCATCGGAATCATTTTCGGTCTTTAACTCTGGGGACTCGAGCTCATGGAGATGTCTGATGTTATCTCTTTGAAAATTGCTGGGGTTGCTACTACTAGTAAGCTTAAGTAAATTTTAGTTATGTATTAAAAAAGCGTTTAATGGAGTCACAGTCTATCAAATGATGACGGGACTCTTCCCGATACAAGATGGAATGCGAAGAACTTCTACACCAACTTCTTCCGCTCATCAACACCCGTGCCGATGCCCGTTGTTCCCACGGGAGAAGTACCACCAGGAATTCTACTTGCTGAAGCGCGCACCGCGATTCATGTTTCACGATTCATTCAGACCATAAAGACGTCCACGGTTCCAGGACCAGACCATCTTTCCGTAGAACTTCTGCGAGCCCAGGACAACACTATGCGAGATTCGCGTCGCATTTGATATCTTACTTTCAGAAGGAAGGGATTCCTGACTAATGGAGAACGTCAATAATCGTCTTTCTTTGAGAAGAGCGAACGGGAGGATCTTCGGAACTACCGTCCAATATCCCTGAGAGAGTGTAGTACAAGCTTTTTACGAAGATTATACTCGCTCGCATATCTCGGACACTAGATGAAGCCCAGCCCCAAACAAGCTGGATTTCGCAAAGGATTCAGCTGCAGGAACCACATCCAGACGATTTCGAGGGCCATAGAGGTCTGCCGGGAGTACCGACTGCCTCTCGTCCTAACCTTCGTAGATTACGAAAAAGCTTTTGATGGCGTCGAAACCAACGCCATCCTGTCAGCAGTAGTTGATTAAGGAGGACCCAGCTTACGTGAGGACATAGCCGACTGCTACAAGGACTGTACAACGACGGTGCAGCTATTCCACCGCCC